CAGCTAGAAAGTTTTGAGCTTCTATTCCATCGCACTTTTTCCCTCATGGAAAGTTCTTGGAGATCTGTTCCGAAGTGTCTGTGAGGCAGCAGGACCATGTTCAGGACATCATTGCCCGTAGTCAAGGTGCAGTGCAAGGAGCTGCCTCAAAATCAGGTGCTTTGCCTAGGGTCTTTTGTAGGTTGAAGCGTGATGCATTGTTTTGTCCTTTTGTAAGGTCTGGCTACTGTGACCTTCTCCTCATCCCCTTCAGTTTAGTTCTAAGTGATGCAAAGACTATTAGGATTGATTCCTCTGATATTTGCATCAGCCACAATATTGCCACACCAAAGGGTGGCTCATCATACTTCTGCCAAGGGCTGTTTGAATGCCCTTGGGGTGAGATGAGTATCAGGGAATAGGAGGGAGAAAAATTGGTGAGAGGCTCAGCAGAGGCAAGGTTGTGCAAAGCACTGTGAGTTCACATGGTTCTTAACAAAGAGGCATTGATTGGAGGCTTGCTGTTGTGACAGAGCTCACTAGTGCCTGGAGATCATTTCCAGGGCTTTCTACATGGGGGAGCAAGAACTAGATTTGCAGGTGTGGGAGCCTCAATTTAATAGCACCTCCTGGGATTTTAGGAAAGAGGGTTTTTGGGTTGAAGAGCCACCAGCTACCACTTACTCTGCTCCCTCCCCAGTGCCCCTCACACCCAGGGAGTCCAGATCTTCCTTCCCAGCTGAGTGCCTGTGCCGCAGGGCACCATGAGTTCTGCACAGTGCCCCCAAGGCCTTGCATGACCTAGTAAATATCTGGGTTTGGGATCGTGGGGAAAGACATCAACACAAACCACTTCAGAGGCAAAGGTGGAGGAGTAGGATCTCAGAGGTCTCTGCTGATGAGGTCTTGGCACCAACATGTCTTTGGCACTCAGCTGGGTCTTTTCTACTGCTTTTGGTTTTCAACAAAAAATAATACCACAAAACTAATAAGTAAAATGCAACTCGGCAAGCTTCAGCCTATACAGATAATCCTTCCCTGTGTGCTGGCTGCCCCCTGGGAGGTGTCAGAGTGGATTGGAGGGCACTGGGAGATCTGGCATAGGAACTGCAAATGGTAGGATGTATCCCAAGCCTTTTCTCTGCCATACCGACCACACACATCATTCAGCAAAGAAAAGGCGAACCCCAGCACTGCACATGCACACACACATCCTGCCTAATGTTTAAGCCTGTCCAGAGGCTGATTAGTGATTTTATTTTCTCCTCCTCTCCCGGCCTTGCATGCTCATTGCCATCAATTGTCTGTGCATTTGCCTTGATGAATTATTGAGTGTGTAACGGGGCAAGGGAAGACCTGCAATCCCAGCTCAGTCACCTTGCAAACAAACGCTCCCCAGAGCATGACAGCAGCTAGTTTGCCCTGTGGCTTCTGATTTAGGATGGGGAGCATGGGAGGCTGATCCAGCAACCTGCAAAACCCCTTTACTCCTTCTGTTCCCCTTCCTCATCATTCTTGTTGAGGTGTGGGTGCTATTGCCGTGGTATGGAGCAGAGCAATGGGTGTGCTATTTCCCTGATGAGAGGCTGGAGGAGCAGAACATAAAGAGTTTATCTTGCAAAAGAGCCGTGAGTTATTCAGTCACCTGGAAAGGAAACATGATTTCCGCACAGTGTTTGGGCTTTTTGGGGGTATTTTTTGTTTGTTTTGGTTTGTTATTTCATCTGCTGGTTTTTTTTCCCCTTCTCCCCTGAAGCCTCTAGAAAGTTTGGAATGTGTTTTTGTTAAAGTTGCTACATGTAGGGGCCTGAATCCCAGCATTGGCAGCATTTTGTTGTTGGCAAGCAGTCCTCAACTGGCACCAGCTTTTTCCCTAGCCAAAAGCCTGACTTTACACCTGGGCAGAGAAGGGTTCTGCAGGACCATTCTGGGGATTGGCTCAGGGTCAGGTTCGTCAGCACCAAAGTCTGTTTTTTCTCCAGTTTGTGTCCGAGTACAGTCTGTACTGATGCGTGGATCCCATGGCAGGGCTAGGGTAGAAGGGGGAGGGTAGAACTGGGAATTGTTACTACCACTCAATGTCAAGAAAAATCACTTGATTTTTAAAAGGGTCATTCATTAATTTGCAGAGCATAGAGAAAGGGCATAGTAATGATGAAGTGAGGGACTGGATTGATCTTTCTCTTGTGATACATACCACATTCTCTGCCAGGTTGGCTGACAATATTTTTATTTAAGGGGCACGTCTTAGGTGCCCATCCTTGGGCAGTGGTGGCCTTCAGCCTGGCATAGCCTCCTGCATGCTGTGCTCCTCGTCTGCACACCTCTCTAGAGAAAGACCAGGCTGTCCTCCCAGCTGCCCTGCAAGGGTGACTCCAAGGAGAAGCTGGTGGCTTTTCGTCCTCTCCTCTCTGGGGTTTGGCTTGCCTCTTGCTTTTCTGGCACTGTGAGGAGGCGCTGGGCCACGACTTCCTGCTGTCATGAATGGGGCCTCTTTCATTGGGATGTTGAAAGCCTGGTTCAAAGGGAACCGCTTAGGCCTGTGGGGGGTCAGGGAGCTTGTCTGGGAGCAGAGCCAGCTGTGCCATCGCCCCAGCCTGGGGCAGGCGCTGCTCGGGGGCATGGGCCCTTCGTGAAAGAGGTGGGGACCAGTGCTGATGAATCCGCTCTTCTCCAGCCTTGGGAGAAAGAGGGAGTGCTGAGCACACCTACAGCCAGGCAGCCGTGAGATGTGTGGCAGGTTGTTCCCAGGGCCTTTGCTACGTGATTGCTTTTGCTCTCCTGCAAGCTCCCACATGCTTTGCTAGGCTCTCAAGACTTCAGAGCCAGACTGCTTGGCAAAGTGTTGCTCACCTCCACAGGTGTGGGCAATTCTGCAAGAGGCTCGCTCACCTCCAGGGTAGAAGGAACAGCAAATGCTGCAAAGCATGTTGAAGACATCTCCCCCCTCCCCATCCACCCGTTCTTTCCTCAAATCTCAGCATAGCATTATCTAAACCTGGTCCTGCTCTGCACCTGGTGCCCTCATTTCATCAGGGAGGCTGTTGTGGGCCACGGGGTCCCAGAGGGCGCAGGCCAGACTGGTGGGAGAGAAGTGTTTCACTGTGTCGTACTGCCTGGACATCCTTCTCCAGTAGGCCGGTGTCCCTGGTTGGCATGGAGAAACGTGGTCCAGCTGTGACTTTATCAGAGCAGGAAAGTCTCTTCCCTCTAGTTTCTGGAGACATGCACGGCCCAGCTACTCTGGAACGGGGAACATGCAACCCTGCCAGCTCAGCTGACGGCCTCTAAGGACTCGATGGCTTCATGCATGCAGGCACATGAGGGCACCAGTGCTTTGCTGTGGTTGTAAGCAGCACTGAGAAACATTCCTCAGCACCCAGCCACAATGCTAGGGTGTGGGGCAAACCAGTGCTTGACTCAGGGAAGGGGGCAAGTTCACACAAAGCTCTAGAGACTGAGTTTCGGTCTTAATTGCTGATGACTGTGGTCAGCTGATGGCATCTCATGGCTAGGCTGGATTGTTGAGGCTTGTCCTCAGGGTCATAGGGTTGGTGTGGAGGGAAGGAGAAAGGGAGAAAGAAGAGCGTTAGATGAGATATGGGGACTGAGATCAGACTGAGTACAGCATAGAGTGAGGGGGCAACATGGGAGTGTGCCAAGAGAACAGTAAAGGCGGTGTTTGTGGGTGGGAAGACTTGTGTGCCTGCACTTGTGTGTGTTAGTGTGAAACTGCAGGAAGGAGACCACTCTTGTTCATGCTCATGTGTAGAAGTCACGGTGCACATTTGCCAAGGGTTTGTGCGGGCTAAGACTGAGGAGTTCATTTTGGTGTTGCATGGGGAGCCCGTTAGTCCCCTAGAAGAACACGATAGGGGTGACATTTCAGAAGTGCTCTGTCCCCTCCGTTAGAAGATGCTGACCTGTTTCTCTTGCTATGCATTTTTGTCTTTCCTCAGCCTCTCTTTCATTACCCTTTCATGTTCCTCACTCTTTTTACATCTTTCTTTTTTATTACTCCTTTCTTTCCTTTACTGTCAGTCTCCCAGAATGCATCCAATTTCAGATTCTGCCAGAAGCAGTGAGCAAAACCTGCTTTTCTTGTTCTCACCACCTTGCTTCTCTATTGTACTTATCATATAAATACTGGCTGTATAATTACCAGAGCATTATCTCTAAACA